CCCCAAAACCCCAAAACCCCAAAACCCCGTAAGTAGACAGATTTACTTCACAAAGAAGAGAGGATATTTATGAATTGAATTACAGAAATTATTTGAGATGGATAAAATAGTTAAAATTGGATACTATTTTTTAACACTCATTGGCAGTTAATGAGGATTTTCCCATCAGTGGCAACTTGAGTTTGCTCGTTGAGCCCTTCAAGATAATTAGCAAGAGGAATTTCCTTCACAATAGTTGATCCGAAGATTTTACCACCATCTCTAAGATCATCGGAGACTCTCTATAAAATCTTTTGTCTTTCCTCAGCTGGGATAGAGATTAGGAATCTATGTAACATAAATCCAGAGATAGTTTTGTCATTAAAGAGGATATCTCCGGAGTTAAGATTCAAAGTTGATCCAGTTTAGTTTCCAACAACAAGAATGTGAGACTTTTATGGCATTGTTGCGAAAATTTTGCCAACAATATCGCCAGAAATGTAATCAATGAGGAATGTTGGCTTGAGTTCCTTATTAAGAGCAGCAAGATCAGCAAGGAAAGTTTCTGAAGTTTGGTTAAGAGCGTACTTTGCACCATTTTCGTTTTTCAATTATTCAACTGCATCGTCTCTTCTAACAATATTGATAACTTCAATACCTTCTTGTTGGGATAGTCTTGAGAATTGCTTTGCTAGTTGAGAAGTAGCAGCAGTAATGATAACAGCAGTTGCTCCATGTTTCTTTGCAAGATGGAGTTGTGCTAATGCAGTCAATGGATTAACACAAGCATTTGCTGCTTTAGTAAGGTCTTGATTATCATCTAAAATGATCAAGCTGTGTGCATTAGCCAACTTATATTGACCCCAAGCATCACCTAAGAATGCAACTTTTTTCCCAACAAGTTCAGCAGATACACCATCACCAACAGCCTCAATTGTTCCAGAACCATCTGATCCAATTCTAGGAGTTTTTAAATAACTGAAAACTGCCTTATCAAAAGGATTTATGGTTGAGTATGCTATTCTTATGAGTACTTCACCTGCACCTGGCTGTGGAAGCTCTTCAGTTACTATCTAGTAATTTCCATCAACTAACTTGACGTATTAGTAGGATTGGGATTCAACCATATCTTTTATTAAAGTTTTTGTATAAATGTTACTTTAATTTAATTGCCCTTTTTATAGCTAAGATATTAAAAATTAATTACGTGTACAATAAAAAAATCTGGCAAATAAGTTGTAGCAAGGGGTTTTGGGGTTTTGGGGTTTTGGGGTTTTGGGGTTTTGGGG